TGATTTTCTGTAGTGGTATACTTTGATTTTTTTTTTTTAATGTGATGTGCGTCTGCTACGTTTTGACTTTGTTGTTGCTGTGAGGCATATATAAAACATGTCGACATAACAGGCTATTGTAAGCCATTAATTTTTGTTGCATATAAGAAGTTTTACTCTTCATTCACATTTTATGCTTTTCATATCACATTTTTATCTTACAGATTAGTGGAAGACCACATAATGTTTGATTTAGGCATGCATCATGTAATGTTTAAATCAGGTTGGATATATAAATATGTACATACGCACATATACATATATAGCATTTCTTTATTTTTGTGGTACTGGGGCTTGAACTCAGGGCCTACACCTTGAGCCACTCCACCAGCCCTTTTTTTGTGATGGGTTTTTTCAAGATAGGGTCTTGCAAACTATTTGCCTGGGCAAATAGTTGAACCACAATCCTCCTGATCCTGCCTCCTGAGTAACTAGGATTATAGGCATGAGCCACTGGCACCCGGCTTATATCACTTCTTTATGGTGAAATTTTCACAATCCCTTCAAGCTTTTTGAAATGCTTTTACAATATTGTTATCAATAGTTACCTGACCATGCAACAGCACACCAGAACTTACTCTTATCTAACTATAACTTAGTACCCATTGATCAACCCTTCCTCATCCCTTCCACTCTTCTAACTCTCCCTGGCCTCCAGGTGCCATCATTCCATTCTCAACTTCTATAAGATAACTTCTTAGATTCCACATGTGAATGACATCATGCAGAACTTGTCTTTCTGTGCCTGGCTTACTTCACTTAACACAGTGATCTCCCGTTCCATCCACATTGCTGCAAATGACAGGAATTCATTATTTTTATGGCTGAATCACATTCCATTGTGTGTATGCGCCACATTTTCTTATCCATTCATCCACTGATACAGGCGTAAGTCGTTCCATTTCTTGGCTATTATGAACAGCGTTGCAATGAGCATGGGAGTGCAGGTGTCTCCGTCAAACCGATTCCATTCCCTTTGAATATATACCCAACAGAGGGTTCACTGAATCGTGTGGTAATTCTGTTTTTAACTGTTTGAGAACATTCCATCCTGTTCTCCATGATGATTGTGCTAATGTGCAGTCCCACCAACAGCGTGCAAGGGCTCCCTTTTCTCCACATTGCTGCCAGCACTTGTCATCTTCAGTCTTTTTTATAGTAACCATTTCTTTCTCATTGTAGTTTTGATTTGCATGTCCCTGATTAGTGGTACTGAACAATTTTTTCATGTATCTAGTGGCCACCTGTATGTCTCCTATTCACAAATGTCCATTTAGAATCATTGCCCATTTTCAGTTGGGTTTTCTTTTTTGCTATTGTGTTTTTGTAACTCTTTATACAGTCTGAATATCAACTCTCATAGATGTATAGTTTACAAATATTTTCTCCTATTGTTCACTCTGTTAATTGATTGCTATGCAAAAAGTTTTCAGTTTCATGTAATCCCACTTGTCTATTTTTCCTTTTATGACCTTGATTTAGTACATACACATGTATTAAAGATTTAATATGCCTAACCAATGTCATATTTTCTTCTAACAGTTTTATAGTTTCAGATGTTAGGTTTAACGTGAATCCACTTTGAGTTTATTTTTACTTTTTTTTGTTCTGTAGCCCAGGCTGGCCCCAAACTCTCAATCCTCCCGCCTCAACCTCCCAGGTGCTGAGATTATTACAGGCATGCTCCACCAGGCCCACCTCTTGAATTTATTTTTATATATGGGATGAGATAAAGGTCCAATATGATTCTCTGGCACATGGATGTCCAGTTTTCTCAATCATTTATTGAAGAGGTTGTCCCTCCTCTGTTGTCATCTTGGTGCCTTTGTTGAAAATCAGTTAGCTGTAGATGTATGGGGTGACTTCTAGGCTCTCTATTCTGCTTCATTGGCCTGTGTGTCTATTCATACCAATACCATGGTGTTTTGGTTACTACATCTTTGTAATATTTTAAAATCAGGTAGGGTAATGATTCCTACTTTGTCCCTTTTCCTAAAGGTATCTTTGGCTACTTAGAGTGTTCTATGGTTTCACAGAAATTTTAGGATTATTCTTCCTAGCTCTATGAAAAATATCATTGGTTGTTTTCATAGAGAATATCACTGAATCTGTGTATCATTGAGTAGTATGGCATTTTAACAATGATTCTTTCACAATCAGCAAACATGAGATGTCTTTCTTCTTTTCTTTCTCTTTCTTGCTCTCTCTCTGTTGTACTTTCCAATTTCTTTCTTTGATGCATTATAATTTTCATTATAGAAATCCTTCACCTTTAAACAAATAAATTGGTTAAATTTATTCCTAGGTATTTTTCATAGCTACTTCCAATGGGATTGCTTTCCTCATTTCTAATTTAGAAAATTTGCTTTTAGCATACTGACTTGTGTGTTGGTTTTTATATTCTGCATATTTGCTTATTTCATTTATCTTTCTAATAGTTTTCTGGAGAAGTTTTCTATATATAAGATCTATCATCTGCAAACAGTAACAATTAGATTTCTTTTCCAATTTCAGTGCTCTTCATTACATTCTTTCATTTGGTTGCTCTTGATAGAATTTCCAGCATTATGTTGAATAAGAGTGGTGAAAGTGGGCACCCTTGGCTTGTTTCAGATATTAAAAGAAAGCTTTCTGCTTTTCCCCATTTGGTTTATTTAAAAGGACTTTATTATTCTGAGTTATGTTCCTTCTACACCTAATTTGTTCAGACATCCTTTTATGAACAATGTTGAATTTTATCAAATGCCTTTTCTGTGTCTATTGGATGACCATATGGTTTTGTCCTTTATTCTGTCGACATACTGTGTCATGTTTATTGATTTGTGAATGCTGAAGCATCGTTGCATCCCTCTGGTGAATCCCACTTGGTTATAGTGAATAATTTTTTAATGTGCTGTCAGATTCAGTTTGCTAGTATTTTGCCAAGAACTTTTGTATCTATGTTCATTAAAGATACTGACCTGTAGGAGAGTTTTGTGTGTGTGTGTGTGTGTGTGTGTGTGTGTGTGTTTGTCTCCTTATCTGGTTTTGGTATCAAGGTAATGCTGACCTCATAGCTGGTGGTTGGAAATTCCTTCCTCTTCTACTTTTTGGAATAACTTAAGGAGAATTGGCATGAATTTTTCTTTAAGTATTTTATAGAATTCAGCAGTGAAGCTATCTGGTATTGGACTGGCCTTTGGTTGGTTTTTTAACTACTTATTCAATCTCATTACTTATTAGTAGTCTGTCTATTTAGGCTTAATTTTTTTCTCAGTGCTGGGGATCAAAGCCAGGTCCTTGTGTATGCTAGGCAAG